AACTGTGCCGGAGGCATCTTTGGCCAAACTGAACCTGCTTGTCCTTCGTTGGGCAGGGCCCACAATGGGATGCTTCTTCGTGGGAATGACCCTAAACCCCAGCTCGCTTGAAATGCCCAACGAGTCAACAAGCAAGGACACGTCGTCGTCATTCAAGTGCAAGTTTGTCATAAACGACATCCTTCCCAGTGCTTGCAGGTCAGCCACTCTAGCATATAAGTAACCAGGGCAAACCAACAGGAAACAAAGAAAGGAAAATTCAACTGGTGGCTCTGGGAGCTGCATTCGCCTGCCCAAATTTGGAAATTGGCTCCCAACCGGGCTTGATTCACCCGGGCAAAAGAAGCGCCTGAGCTCAATTCCCCCAATTCAGGCAGCGCCAAAATGGAAAATGCCGGGCGGAAATCTGCCGTGCGGAAACCTGCCGCAAAACCGCTGGCCCAAGGGCAAATCGCCGGAGAGTCCACTCAAAAAACGGTGAGCACCGCTGACAAAATGCCCAGCACGATCAAAGCCACCTGAGCGATGCCAACATGGGAATGCGTTTTGATTGGTTGGACGCCAGTGGAGGTTGTGGTGGGGATTTATTTCCACTAACCACTTGCAAGGGTTTTCTTGCCAAGATTCCCAGCCACGTGCTGACGCCAACATGTGATACCAACAGTGATATCAACATGGGCGCAGCATTGATTAAATCGAACCACTAAACCTGGGACTCGAACCCTGTATGAACACCGGCCAACTTACGTGCTTGGGCTTCGAAAGAATCAAGCGCTCACGTCAGGAATGGGCACATGTCACAATTGCTTATCTTCCAACATGTTTCTAGGGGTTGATTCCCCATTTTGTTAAAACCATAGTTCCTTTCAAAACCAGCCGTTTTGTTGCTGGGTTTCCGGAGGTCTAGAAAGAAGGATCCCTGGAAAGGTTGGAAGGTACCCCTCGAATGCTGGTGCTTGGCTTTTGCTAAAGAATTTGGAGGGGTCCAACTCGTAAAGCCAATGGCCCATGTCGACAGGTCCAAACGAGCTTTCGGCATCGGTCTAGTCCAAGAAAGCCAAGACTTCGCGACGTCTATGGCAATTAGCTTCGCTCCGCATTCAAGTGACCTGGTGTTCCTCAACTAGGTCCTCCAGTAGAGAGGTTAGAATAAGGGTACCAACTTGTTTTTTCTGTAGTCTAGTTTAGTCGGGGAACCCTCCCCAAAAAACGGGGTAAAAGGGCATTTCTGGGGGACCTCAACGACTCAAGGGTTCATGAAACCTCAACGGAATTTCGTTTCCGGGGGCCTGTCTGATATTGGAGGTGAAAGGGAAAGAATGAGCGAGCCCAAAAAGATACGTCTTGCGAGAAATGGTAAGTAGCCAGCCTGAGTATTGGCTGGCTCATCCTCTTCTAACAACCACACCTATAAAATTGAAATTCGGATGTGGTTAAGAGAAAGAGACCCAGCCGCAGGGAAGAAATCGCCCCCCACCCAAAACTCCGAGCCATGTTTAGAGGAATCTTCTTGAGGGAAACGATCCCTTGGGCACCCATGTTAAGCGCAGGGGACTGAAAGCCTAGTCCTATTTCTCTCCATGTGAGTCATGACCATGGTACCAGAAATCAACTGTCGGCGTTCCGCACCGATTTGGGGCTGGGGCTGTTGCTAACCTTCATAAGGCTAGACCCAACCGAGTCACCGCGGCGGTCCACCATCGAAACCAAACCCACCTTCAATTGCATGTCAGCTTTGATCTGAGACCCATAGAGTCATAGAGGTGGCTTGCTTTCGGCGGGAGATTGGTTCACTTTGGGGGGATTTCATGGGATTCCCCTATGGATGGCGGCGCTGGATCCAGAGAGGTCGTCCTCTTTTTTTCCCTGGCTAGTTCTAGTTCTGGTGTTTGAAAGGCTAAGGGTTTTTCCCCACCATGCCTAATTTTGAGAGAAAACCATTCGAAATTCAGAAATTCTGAGCCCTGCAAAGAGGTCTTCTGTTTCTCTTGAGAAACCCAGGAGTTGGCATGCTCACCAAGACACATCTGCAGCCATATCCAGCCATCCCATCTCATCCCACATCACCTTCCTGAGTCCGAGTTTGTCACTGAATGGGCAGCGCGTGCTACGATTGACCCTTTTCGAACTGAACTGCTGGGAAGTCTTTTGTGGCTTCCCGGCCGTTGCAAAAGGCGGGTGAGCAACACCCAAGTGAAAATTGAACGGGCCCCAGACTCCAGGGTCTTCTGCTGGAACCGTCTTTTGGCAGGCGGCCCGACGGTAATCTCCATATGGATGATATCGCTTGTGTCAAGTGATAAGTAATGTTGCTTCCCAAGGACTGACCCCAAACGGGTACATACCGCACATACGGAACGTTTTGACACATGTTCATCGGATTGTTTCAAAAAATCCGGGAGAGTCCTGTTTGAGCAGGCTGACAAATGGTGCCTATTACAGAAGATGGACCGTTCTTGGACCGACTAACCGGATGTGCTTCGGTCCTCAAACCACACGGAGCTCCGCGCTGGGTGTGACGAAAAAAAGGGCATCGATTTCTGGGGCTCGAAAGACGTGCGCACCTGTTGCTAGTGGCCGGAAAAACAAACATGTTCAATACTGCAAAAAACATAGGTGCCTTTTTTGGGAAAATAGATGGCCCTGGTAGTTGATTGAACCACCGGGAAAACCAGGGCCCTCTATTTTTCAACCAAACACAACCGAGAAGGACACATATGTGCAAAAGGTCAAACCAAGGTTGCCAACCTGTCATAATTCCTTCACCACTAATAGAGCTCATGATTCCTTACAAAACTACCAAGTGGCTCGTGACACCTAGGACACCTTTCACCAAATGTTGCGCCCCTTTGAGTACCGACTTCCATCCGGATTGGATGGATGGGTGGGGTGGATGGATTTGATGTGGATGGAGTGGGTAGATGGGGGGGCAAGCAGGAAAGTCGCTTCCGCTCGCCCCCCGCGGAGAAAAAACAAATCTTGCCCCCGACAGTCGAGATGCAAATGGCCGGCGCCGGGGACCACCATGGCGCAGAATGCCATGGCCAGTCCGCCCCCCAGTCCTGACGCACGTCTCGGACGGGACCCACAAATCCCCTAGGACCGGTTGGAGGTGACCCCGGGGGTCTTTGGGAGTTGCCCTCTAAAACTTGTTGGGTTTTGAGGGGAAGACCGGTTCCCTCTAAAACTTGTGGGGAATTTAAGGGGAACCAAAATCTTCGACCCGCCCCTTGGCTCCACATCCCCCTGTATGACATTTGTGCGGACAAACTCACCTGCCCTATCCCCAAGAGAACACGGGAAAACTGGTGCCCGTGCGGATGGGAAATCTCAGTCACTCATGTTCTGGGGTTTGTCTCAAAAAATGGATCTGGCCCGAAACTAAGCAAAGCAAGCTCACCCCCCTCAAACCAAAGAAAATAAGCCTGTGGTCAAACCGGAGAGGAACAAAGGGTCAAAAAATACGCGTTCGTTTTTGCCCGTCCAACCTCTTCCTAGCACCCCCTCCTCAAACGAAACCTCCTCCGAAAGCAAAGGACCACTGCAAGTGGGGTAACACTTGCGCGCACCTGAAATGTAAACCTTTTTGCGACCCTTATATACATTAACAAATTGGTATCCGCAGTGTCATGCCGCAATTTACAAGCTTTTAACCTCGTTCATCCCTGCCAAATGAAACGCTGCAAAGGCGATTGAGCATGCAACATGTGCCACTATCAAAACTCCCCCAAAAGAGCCAGTGTCATGGGCACCTCTGCCATGATTGCCCTAAAATCAAACCCTTGCCCAAAATTTGATCCTTATGAATTCCATCTGAGCTTTGCTTGTTCTCAGTACTGAACATCTGGGTCGCTTTCTTGCTTCTCAGACTGAGATGGATTGACGGCGAACTACATACCATCCCTGAAGCGATCCCTAGATGTTGTTACTAGGACTCCCAAAACCTGGTCGAGGGATTCTCTACGAGCCCGGACTCCCGGAGTTTAATTCGCAAGCAAGCAGCGCAGTGCGCTCAGAGATGGGAGCAGCGCGGCCACATAGAAGCAAACCACGATCACTATCCTAGCGTCCGGACGCGGGCCGAGCGCCTCTTGCTTGAGTTTCAAGGAAACGAAACCAACCTATCTGCGCTCTATGAATTTAAAGGAGGTGGGGCTTCAAATGGAGCACAGCAAGAAACGGGAGAGGCGCCGTGTGGTAGCAGGACCCCTCTCCTGTTTGTTTCAATTAAAAAATAAAAGCAAAAAACGCAGAAGGAACCATCAACTTTCAGGGGCACCCAATTCTTGGAGGACTCCTTTGGCTGCGCTTCAAAGAACAAAACACAAAAGGCGACGCTTCGGAGCACCCAAGCTACCTGAATTCAGCGAATTGGACCGAATTCAGCGGGACCCTTGACTCCGTGGCGCGCTGGTGTTCGGGCACCTTTCGCCGTGCCGGAAAACACACCGCCGGGCGAAAAAAACCCTGGAGGTTTTTGGAACGTTGCAACCTCCGGAGCTTTCGGATGGCACGAGATTAGATCCCAAGATTCTCTTCGGGCTCTCTGGACCGTATGCAGCCGACCAAGCAATGATGCCGCGCAATCATTTTTTGAGAACAATTTGGATGAGCAAAGATGGGGTCTCAAATTTGACTATTGCTCGTTTGGGACCATGTGTTCTAAGCGTAGATTTCTGCTGATGACTCAGCCTTCAAGGTTGTCCGAGCACCGAGACGAAATGCAAATATACAGTCCAATTTCACTATATGGATGGTTTTAAAAGTCCCACCTCGCTTGGGTTCTAAGAGAAAGCACACGGCAACGCGCGCCCTGGAGAGCACCCTATCTTTGGTGCTGTTGGCAACACGAACCAACATGTTTTGGCGGCAACCTTTTCAACTTGCTTGGTTTCAACCACCTTTAGCTGCACATTGTAGAAGAGTCGCGTGGTTGGTTGGTTTCAAGTCGCAAACATACCCAAATCCGCCTTGAAAGAAAAGCGGAAGGCCCGCAAACCCCGCACTTGCGGGCACTCGAGTGCTTCCCCAAAGAACCGGTCAGTCCTCTCCAAAAGCAAGGCAACCAGGACTCACTTGGGTGGCTTTGTGCAGTTTGTTGAACCCCCCAGAAGGAAAACAGCAACGGCCCTTCGCCCCGTCGAACTGGTTGCGACCCTTCCTTTGCTGCGCCCTTTTACTTCCTGATGCCAAGGATCCGCGTTTGAACAGGTTGGTTTGACACTGCAACTCACTGAAAGAAAAGCACAACAAACACAACCCAACAGCGCTGAAATCAACCAACGAGCTCGTCAAATGGTCAAGTCAACAGGTAAGACTACTGCATGCTTTGTGGAAAGCAACAAAACATGATCAGCCAAATCAAACAAAACAACGAAGAGCACAGCTGAGAAAAAAATAGGGAAGGCCACCAAGAAACCGTTGAAGCAAAAACCAACCCAAACAAGCAAACTCTGGCAACCAACAACCTCCCCTCAGAAAAGACACCCAGCCCAACCAACAAACCCAAGAAACCAACTCACAGCCGCGCGGCCAGCGCATCACCTGTGGGCAGGGCGGTTCTGGCGTTGGCGCTGCGGCACCCTTCAGCAAAGCCACCTGACGATTTTTCGTCGGGTCCTCTCCCAGGTCCTCCAGTAGAGAGGTTCGAATAAGGGTACCCGTTTTTTGTTGTTGTTGGTTGTCTATTTCAGTAGGGGAACCCTCCCCAAAAAAGGGTAAAGTGCACTACTGGGGGACCTATAGTCTCCCTGTGCGGTCGTTTTCCGATGCCCTGCTAAAAGTGACAAACTTTCAGTGGGCGAAATGGATATCTCACTAACACTCAGCTAAAAGCTAAGGAACCGCATGGCTGGGAACCAAGAAAAACGGATTTTGCAAAGGCCCCCTGTGAAAAAAGGGTCTACACCAGAATGCTAGTATCAGTGAACCTTGGCATACAAAGGGGTACGTGGAAAATGAGAGTACTGACTCCCTGCCATATTTCGTCTGGAATGTAACCCCAAGCTTGCCCAAAATACCCGGACATAAAGGTTTCACTGACCTTTACTACCTTGAATGAAAACAAACCAAAACTTGCAAAAGGTGAAAGGTCGCCATCGGGCAGGAGTCTTTGCGCATGCTCTGGGTTTGCAGCCTCGAAATGGACGCACCCATATTGCCCAAATGGGGCTGGGGGGTCTGATGGCAAATGCGGAAGCGGCTGGGAGGCCGCTCTGGGCACAGAACTGGATCGGGGCTGGCCCGAAACTACGCTGCAGATTGACCTGGAACCCAAAACGCCACGTTTCGAGGAAACTCCCTTTTTGGTCGCCTCGTTTGGGCTCGCTTCCATGGCAGTTGTGTGTTCCTTTTGGCTGCGCATGTCGCAGTGCTGTTGCTGGTTGGGTTCCACCATCACGAATCATCAAACCGGGCTCCTAGAAAGGAAACTTGGAATTGTGAACTAACAGAAATCGGGTTGTAAAGAAGACCCCAAAACGCATGAGTCAAAGAGTGGAAAACCCAATCTGTCCATAGTTGACTAGCCTAGGAATACACGTCAACCCCGCTTGCTTCGATTTTGACTCAAGTCTGTCTCCCAGGTGGCAACCTCCAATGACAATTGGCCCATGTTTAGACAACCTCAACACAAAGCCAGCCACTGATCTTGATGATTTCTCTCTGCCGGTCCTTGTCCTGGTCCGATTGCTCATTCGCCGTGTCCGAGTCCTCCTGGTTCTCAACGGCGCTCGCACCTGGAGAATGTGGTACACCTCTAAGTTAACTTCTGGGCCTCCTTTGGACTAAAGCCACTCACCAGCAACAAAAGGGGCGGCGATCCGTCTTTCTCTTGTGGTACCCCTTTTTGGGGTTGGTTTAAAGGGAAACCAAAGGCATGCCAACGATTCTTGGGAGGTCGCCCTTTTTTAAGACACGCCCAAATGTTGCTTCAAATCCTCACACGTCCAGCTCTAGGCAAGTGGCCTTCTGCATATCTCTGCATCGCGGAATCCTCAGTCGGCAAGGGGCTGCAAGGGGCTGCAAGGGGCTGCAAGGGGCTGCAAGGGCCGGAATGTGGGAGGTAGCCCATGGATGGAGCGGGATGCAGGAGATGCAGTGTGCAAACCAATGGCTCGTGAAAACGTGGTTTAGCCAAAGTATGCTCATGCCTGACCACTTTTGGTCGAACTAGCACGTCCAAAAGAGCCTCTTGTTCGGTGTCAAAATCAGAAAATAAAGGCCTCATCCGCTGCATCCCACATCCCACGATTCCTCCTCAATTGTTTGGTTGCTTGCATCCCCTGCATGTTCTGCGTTGACCGCATGCTCTGCATTCCCAGCATCACCGGTATCCCCAACGTAATGCCCCTTCGCGCATCCCGCTGTTGCCTCTCAACGCCTCCCTCCATCCCTGCAAGAACCCACAAATTCGAGTTGTTCTTTTGATCTTCGTGTAACCAACCTTGAAACAAAATTAAACCAATCTCAAATCAAGCTGAAGCTTCGCGTCTCCTCCCGCATCAAACCCCCAGCCCTAAGCCAGGCCCTTCCAAGGTGCCAGAATGGAGAAGACCACGAACATCTGGATCTGAAAGCTAACCACCAGGACGAAGGACATGGTGAGCTTGCTAAACTTCACCTGAACGACGGAGCTTCTTTTCATGGTGAACTTTCACATGCCTGAGACCTGGCCAGGTCAAATGTGACTTCTTACACCCTCAACACTCCGTTCTTGGTTGACTTTGGAAAGCCAAGCCCCTAGTGATCTTGCTGGTGCTCAGCAGGGAACGAGGGAGTGAACCTGGGGATTCCCTTAAAGGAAACCATAGGGGATGGCTCAAATCATTCTCTCATTCCCTCCCTATCGCTGCGATCGCAAGTGATTGATCCCCTTGATCTCCTCCTTACATGACGCTTTTCAGCCTCTCCACTCTGAGCGAGTCCAGATTCAGAGTTGAGTTCTGGGTTTGACGCTTTTCGCACCGCCGGCTTTTCCAAGTCTTCGCCGGGGCGCAGCCAACGACTCCGGGGGGAAGTTTTCGTAGATCACCTGGGAAGTTGGAGCTCGTGGTTTTCATCGTGCGGTACAAAACGGGGGAGTCTAAAAATAGGAAAGCCCCCACAAAATGAAAGGTGCTTCCTTTTGGTTCCCCAAAATTTCACCAAGCCCGACAAGGGTGACAAACACCAGACAGCCCATGGGGCAATGGGTCTGTGAAAATGGGTGTAATGAGATTTGGACACCAAACATGGAGTTTGGTTTCCTTTTGTGGTTGCCCTTTGAGCTGAGCTGAAAGGGTACCCTCAAACAACGCAACTGGGAGAGACATGTCTGATTTCCCTTCAAAAGAAACAATCCAAATCGGTCGGTCTTCGACCCGCGGACACAAAGCGGGGAAAAAAACAGGTCTTGGCGCGTGGGTGTCCATCAGCTTTCCAAAGCTTCAAGGTTCCAAGCTGCAAGCTCACTCCACGCATCTGCCGTGCATGTTCAACCCTAAGCAACAAAAAAGTCGTGGAGACGGGGTTTTGCTTCACCAAGCTCAGTTCGGAGAGCTGCGACCACGTCGCATCCTCCACCCGAGACCCGTAGATCCCAAAGCCGAAGGCACCTGCGCTCGACCGGAAGTCGGCAAGGGTCAGTAAAACTCTTTCCCACCCTTGAGAAAAGGGGAGCAACATAAGACGTCTTTCTTTTGCGGCCTGCTAAACATGAACAGAACCAACCGCGCATAGCACCCCTCAAAGAAGTCGATAAGATGTGCTTTTGGCTCATGGCAATGTTGGTTGTGTGCTGATTAACCAACCCTCAGTGGAATATTCACCCGGAAAGAAAAGCTTGCCAAATCGTAGCAACAGACAGCTCGAGTATTCGAAACTGCTGCATAGCTCAACCTGGACTTGTCTCGTGAACCAACCCGCTTTGGTCTTCCTTTGCTTTCCCTAAGCAATCCCAAAGAATGATATACGGTACCCACAACTATCCGCCTCTTCCATTCACCTGCTACCTCTTCCCCAAAATGGCGCAACGGTTGCCCTTGTCCCTTCAAAAACCAGAAACAAAGGTGCCAACTCAAAGACGGGGAGCGGCCAAGGTGACTCTTCAGCCGGGCGCCGAGCGCCCGCGCCTATGAAGCCGAAGATGAGCAGCGCTAGGAGGTGGCTCACAATGACCACCCTGAACCAGTCGTTTTGCCAACAAGCTGACCCGAAGACATGACAACCTATCAATCAACAAGTATATTTTTTTCAAATGGCAACAAAATAGGGGGCAAAGAAACAGCCAAAAGCCGGGGGCCCGAATTTGCACGGTTTTGGTGAATCAACATGCCATTCGTAGATGTGCGCCAGTCGATCCGCCTGCCAAAGGGAGCAGGGTCGCTCAGCTTCATCTGCACGAAGACATACTGTGACACTAGGACCTCACACGCCAAACTCCCACGGAACATGGAACGAGTCCGCTGAGCTGACTCAGAGAAAACGATAAAACGAAAAGCCGTTGGGACCTTTCAAGCGATGAGGCTTAGCGACCAAAGTCTCAATTCTGCCAATCAGCTCAGGAAATGGCATTGCCCTTGCACTGGGCCACTGGCCTTCTCGTTTCGCTGGCCGGATCTCTTGCTCTTGAAGAGGAACAAACAGGACCGCGGAGGAGCCCTCTTCGCTGTCGCACGGCCATTTTGCAGCATCAAAGCCAACCAAAGCAGATGAAACATGGGCAAAGCAAAGATGTTGGGGGCAAAAGCAAAGATTTCGGGGGTTCAAAAGCGAGAAAAAAACACAAAAACAAGAGATTATGACAAACCCGAGGTCCTTTTTAAGACAAAAACAGTTTGTCACAAATTTCGAGGCCCTTTTCCCCTTAAAACAAAGACTTCGGTGCCATTGCCAATTGCCAGGCCACTCCCTCGAAGGCGGAGATCGCCGGGCCGACGAGGTAGCCGAGCCCTGCACGCTGTGACGCCACGCATCCGATGGGATGCGTGAGATGCGTCATGGCCGCGGTTGGCGTCCCCATGGCTCCAAACAGCAAAAAAACGGCCCCAAAACATTGGGGGTTCAACCCAAGGTGTGTCTTCAAAACCCAAAAACGCCCCCCCCCCAAAAAATAATAATAGGGTGATCAAAAACCCAACCCCAGGCCTTTATTTTTCAAAACCCAATGCATGGGAAAGGGCATTGGAAGACAGCATCATACAAGAAGGCTGGTGAAGATCCTGATCGATCATGGTGACACTATTGCTTCAGAAACTCGAGTTGTTTCCCTGGGATGGCTCTCTGAACTGGACCGGGGCTATCAAAGTTAGGTCCCTCAATTTAGGATATGGTTTCATGGCTTCAATAGGAAACCATTCTCATAGTTGGTTGCTTTTCTGGGGGGCAATTTGTTCAATGTGAAAAGCCCATTCCAGTGATTCCATTTCCCTGGTTTGTAGGTAACCAACCAAAACCTCGCTTAAAAAACCAAGAGAAAAATGTTGGTTACCTGCTTTAGTGGCTTGCCTGGGATCCACTGGATCCCAAGCGCGCTGCAAGTGGCGCATGGCACATCTCAATCAAACCACGCCTTCCCAGCGCACAGGAAGCCACGCCGCCTCCAGAGCATCCCGGCCCTCGCCGATCTCTGCCTGAAATCAACTGGATGGCTCCAGCTGGGCGCTTGGCACGTCTCTTGGCGTTTGATTCATCTCCAATCCAGTCAGTCAATCGGCCACAGAACCTGGAAACAAACGGCTCTTTGGGATTTTAACTGGTGTGTCATACAAGAAGCGGTGGCTCCTCTATTTGTTTCCCATTAACATGGGCCCCGAAAATGGTACCCTCAATAAAGCACGCACACACACACACACACCCACACCCACACGCGCAGACGCGCACACACACACACTTAAACTCCAGATGGAGAGTGCTAATCTTTCGAGTACAACTGATGAGTCTCGAGTACAACTGATGAGTCTCGAGTACGATGAGTTTCTGCTTGATTTCCGCGGGCAAAGAGGGGACCTTGTTGGGTAGCAGGTACGTAGCTGAGCGTCCTCAGCTACTTCCCTTCCAGTGACCTAGCTTCGTTGGATCAGGTCAGTCACTGGAAGCCTGATCCCCCTGCTGCGAAACCGAAAGGGTGGTGACAGGGCATTCTGTCACTCCGCACACACACACACGCCCCTCTACGAGGGGCGAAGTTTCTCTTTTCTCCTGCTGGAAGATCAAATGCTCACACTCAATTGTCTATCGTTGACCAAAAAATCCTCCACGGCGAGGGGAGCGAGACACCGCCCTGAACCGCTCAGAAGACGGGAACGAAAGATCACCACGTTGAGCATTGCGAGTGTCGCCATAGAGGACTGAAGCGATTTGCGAAGCAGCCGGGCGATCACCTTGAGAAAACGGAGTGGCATAGGTGAATGTCTCCTCAACTGGAACGGCATCGGAGTTTCGAACTCGACCAAGCGTCTGATCATGTGGATCGCGAGTCGTGAATGACTCAATCCGAGACAAGATGCGCTGGTACCCTTGGTGTTGCCAGTCACGGATGTCCCATGCTTGGACTGGCGCGTCGGGCTCAGTCACCCGTCTCCATTCACGAAACGAATTTTCAGGGACATCTGGCAAGGCGTCCCCGCGGTGCCATTGTTGAGGATGTCCTGGAGTGTATATCCGCACCCACTCCTGATCATGCCAGACTGAATATTCAAGCCATGGGTGCTGCTTCGAATCATCGATGTCCATGTCGAGGCAAGAGGCAAGAATTGTCGCGGGCTCCGATCCGGCTAGTAGATAAACAAGCACAATGCACAACCATGTTCAACCAGCAACCAACAACCAAGCAAAATCATGCAAGTGCAAAGATCACCCTTATTTCGTACGCTGCGCTGCTCATGCGAGTCTAGTCTTCAGTGAGCTCGAAGACGGGACTCATCTTGTCTCGGCCACTGTCGGAAGGATTAACGGGCCGGTAGGGGTCGGAGACCCCAATCGTCTCCAATGATGTGCTTCCACGCGATGCACGTACTGGTTGATGAGGATGGGAAGCTAGACGTGCGCGAGCTGTCAGTTGTTGCGAAATCCCTTCCTGGAGACGAGTCAGTTCTTCAGTAGAGAAATCAGCTGCATCCGAGGACCTGAGAATCGCGTCTAACAGCTCTGGCGACATAGTCAATGCCGCAGACTGCGTGGCCACGCTGTGATGATCGGGGGGATACCCTGAGTCAAATTCATGACCAGCGTGAGGGGCAGCGATTCGTCGGTAGCCCTCTGTGGCCCAGTCTCGTTTGTACCACATAGTGACTTGGGCCTGCTCTCCGACTGAGGCCTGGTTGGGTGCATAGAACTCCCTCCACTCTCTAAAAGTGTGCGGAGGAGGTGGATCATCATGTTCTTCTTGCGGCGTCCACGGTCCCGGATGAAAGATCTTGACCCACTGGGCATCTGGTTGTTGAGGGTCCGGGCACCATTCCAGCCACGCCATGACAACACAACCACGGAAAGACAAGTTGATAGGTGTACGGCTGCAGACAACAACAAGTGCAAGCAAGTCAACAATCATAATGCAAAAGACCACTTTTGTAACACTGTGCGGCGCCAGCATCATAGTCTGACTCTCCAGGGAGGCGAGGGCGGGCATCAGCTCTCAAGCGAATTAGATGATGCCGAGGAGGAAGTCATTCCAGCATACATGAGGTCCGGTGCGCCCGAAGCAAAAACTGGCCTCGCTATGCTAGGATGTGGACGACCCAGGCGTTGATACCCCCTGGTGACCCAGTCCCTGTAATACCAAGTGTAGAAGGTGGCGTAAGATACCGGTTGCAGAACCGTGCCTGTGGTTGTGCCGCCCGTGCTTTCCCGGGGCCAGTACACTTCGAAGTGGTGGACCTTGCGCCATTCCCGATAGGTGGTCGAGTCATCCGGGGCCGGTCCCAGGGTGTCTGGGGCTACTGGATGCCACTGACCCGGAACATAGATTCGAATCCATTCCACACTCGTTCCTGCTCGACTATGAACGATGTCATAGTCAAAATAACGAGGTAGGACCCATCGTGCTGCACCCTGCACTGTACTATTGAACATTTCAACCCAACAAGCTGCTCAAAGGTAGCACGGAAAGCGGCGGACACCCTGAAACGACATGCACAGCACCAAGCAAGACAACCCAATGTGAGCACACATACAAAGCAAGCACAACCGCACCTTTGTCCAACATGCTGCTCAAGAATCAATCCGACTCATTCCAAGGATCATGGAATGGCGGCGGTGACGGTTCCCGCCACGCCCCATCCGGCACCGACGAGCCCACCGAGGACTCGACGTCCGCATTGACGAGCATCGCGAATCCCATGGATTGTACAGGAGGTCCAAGGCGTTGATAACCTCGTGTTTGCCAGTCCCGGTACTCCCACACGTGGTAGGACACATAGGCACTGGGCGTGGCTATAGGATCCATTGTAGTTCCACCGGTGCTGTCTTCAGACCAGTACACTTGGAAGTGATATGATCTGCGCCACTCCCGATACGTGGAAGCGTACAGTGGGTCAGGAACAGGCGCCTCATCGGGAACGGGCCTCCAAATGCCCGGAGAGTAAATTCGAATCCATTCCACTCCTCTATCGATCTGGTACTCGAAATACTGGGGGTTCATAGCAGCAATACGTGCTTGCACGACTGTTGAACCAATCGAAAGTCTGCGGCAAGGACACACATGCATTGCCAACCGCACATACACACTGAAGAGTGAGGCAACTTTTCAAACACAAGATGAAACGCAGCAACGAGGTCGGAAATGTCAGACTCCTAGCTTTCACTGTCGTTGATGTCGCGCACACCTGCAATGATAGTGACCTGGCCGTCTACGAGCACAAGGGGAAAGACATTTCCGTCCATGGCGCAGGATGGCGTGACAGTAATGCTTGCACGCCGCCGAGGGGGATTGCGATGGACGGCCTGCACGTTTGGAATAAAACACTGTAAAGGGCCGTCGAGATCGCCGCGGCGCCGAAGCTGATGCTGTCCGAGATCGTTTGGACGAGGGCCCTGGACTGCGTGGTTCTTCATCACGGGAGGGGTCACTGCTGTGGATCGAGCGGCGTGTGCGCTGCGATTTCGAAGAGGTAGAGCAGGATTGTCCACGAGGGGCTGAGATCGTGGGGCTGCGTACCGAGGGCATAAACTGTGGGTGAAGAATCACCGGTGGTGGTGGTGGTGGTGGAGGAGGAGGTGGAAGAAGCAATGGCAAACTTGGCGGGGGCGGAGGTGACGTAGTTAACCGTATGGGTCTGTCGAGTAGAGCCCCGGGTCCATGAAATTGTAACCACGTCGGCTGCGCTCCATGGGTCCAGGTAATGTACGTCTGTACAACTTGTTCCGACATGATTTGAGCAACTCAGGCAAGACATCACTGCATGTCAACGACATTGCACAACACGACAAGCAAGATTGAGTCACATGCGAGCAAGCAAATATCATGTGATCAACAACGCGAATCGGACACACCGCCGCTGCGTATCATTTGGTCCATCAATGGTCGTTGCTGCATTTGTCGGGCATGTTGCTAGCCGCGAGCTTCAAGTTGTTGATAGACCTTCCATGCCTGCTTGACTTCCTCAATCGGCTTCTGAAGAAACCGCGCAATGGTCTTATAGGTGGGCCTGGAATCTTTATCCTTCTTCCGTCTCACCATTTCATCCAGCTCACCCTGTGTCCATGCCGTGAAAGGTTCACGGTACGCATTGCGAAGTGCAATGGTAAATTCTTGTAGAAGTTCACGAGGACCATGGACCACCGTCGGCGACGGCCGGAACGACGAGGCACCTGGATGCGGACGTATGGAACCATCAGAATCCGAATCAGGTGTCGTAGGCGTCGTTTGTCCTGGCTCTCGTCCACCGTGTATCGCGATAGGAGCAAGGGGACGAGGAGGTGGTAGTCGATCCAACATCGATTCGGGCCGAGCTCCCGGATTGTGGTCACTAGCATCACGATGTGCCGCTCGAGGCGGGGACAAAGCCGGTATGTACCAGGTAG